TGTTGACGAACGAAATTTTTTAACAACTGGCCCAGAGAGGACCAGGTTGGCCATCAGATCGACCAAAGCGAGGCAAACGCCTTGAGGAATCTCCTGACCTATTTCTTGCTTGCTCCTCTGCCTAGTGCTTGCGCCAATATTTTTCTATAAAAATGGAAAGACAGATGGTGGGATACGATATCAGTTGTAGAATGCGGGACAAAAAGCTCGAGTCGGTGCGCTCGACGCGTACGTGATCAAATACCAAGCGAGTCCCTTTCCCTAGAGAGAGTCGAGAAAATATAGTGTAGGTACTCGACTGACTCCTACATATGCGGGACATGTGACCTAATATTTTAATTTACCGCGGAAATTGTATTCCGTAGACGTCAGCCCGCAGCAAGAGAGAAATGATTGAATTGCATTTTAAAGATTGAATTTATCCATGGGCGGAGAATCATCGGAGCGAGGGAGCGTGTATGTGACGGAAAAATAGTCGATCGAGAGGAAGTATTAAGGATGACGTACCATTTTGACTTCTCCTCTGAAAAATTTTCAATCCAATCGAGTTTTTTCAATGTGCAGTCTCAGTTACTTCATGAACGCTCTTTTCAAAAACAAAGAAAATGGCTGGCTTATATACTCCGTGTATAATCATAGTCAACGGAGGAAGCATGGAAATTCAATTTCCATGAAAAAATTTCCCATATTGATTGAGTATGATCGATTAATTGTACGACATTTGTCCTATACCAAGTTAACACATGGTTCGATTGCTGTAACGTTTGGAAGGAAAACAATGATTGCAAATTAAGCCTTGAAAGGGGATACATCGAGTGGCCGGAAGGTCAACCAAAAATTGATGTTGGCTCGTTTTCAATTTTCATCCCTCGTCCGAGAAAGTCATCAACGTGCCTGTCTCGAGTATTATGTCCGACTAATAACACACCAATAAGTGTAATCAATGTTCCATAAAAAAAAAGAGCGACTGAAACGAAAATAAATTCCATTACTTGAAAGCCGACTCTTTGCGCACCACATCAGCACAGGGAATGAGAGAAAACTGTGCGTGCCAAGAGCCAATTTAATTTTTTATTCCTCGCTACGCCGGGCGAACAGGAGTAGCAGCAGCAGAGCCAGCAGAGATAAAAAATGATGTTTCGCTGAAATTTCGAGAGATAGGCGAGAGCAATTTCCCAGTTACATAACGGCTAATCCGCATTTCATCGGGCGGTTCAAGCTCCGGCCTAAACGCTGCAGCTCATCCGTCTTGCAGCCACCTCCCTCCTGGGCGAGCCGAGGAAAAGGGATGTAGGAAGTCGCACTCGCCGTAAAATATAATTGCGTTTCTGGGATTATCCCTGGAAACGCGAAACGAGAAGAGGGAGGATGGTGCAGGGCGACTGCCAGTGTGCGAAAATGATGACAACGCCATCCCCTATCTCGCAGTGCCCTCTTCTGTCATCCCTTTTTTCCCCCCTTTCTCACCCTGTGGGTCCTTTTTCGCCTTTTCGAGTTATTATTTAAAAGGAAGCTTATTTGGAACGAGCGTAAGCAAATCGCGCGAAATTTTCATTCCCACCAGAGACGTGTACGCTTGGAAACTTTTTCCTCCTAATTTTACGAGAGGATGAAAATTCAATGGCACGTAGGAGATTTGCTCCATTAGGCTAGTTTATTCCCAATCTTGATTAAAGATGAAGATAAAGTCCGTCCATGTGAGGGGTAATGATAGAAGACAGGCTTTCAATTGGAAAGCTCGAATCTTAATCTCCATCGTATCATGGGTGTGGACAACTGCAGGTGCATGGGCTTGACTTTGAAGGTACATTTTTTAACATACTGTGGGTTCATTAGATAGAGTTTTTTTTTTAATGAATGTTAATGATTCAATTGATCCTAAAGTATCATTCTGCAGTAAATCTCATTTCGCTAAACAATATGTTATTTTGTAACGAAGCAATAGAGCTATCTTGAGGGACACATAGGTATTCGTGTTTTTTGTCGCAGTAAAGAAACAAAAAAAGTTCATCGATCGACCTGTGACAAATTAAAAGCTCTATTCCTCGCAACTGTGGTTCGTTTGCTCCATCTTGAAATGAAAAAGGATAAAAAATAGATCGACCAAAACTAAAATTTACGTACGATAAGGACGTGCAAAGGGAAGTAAAAGTAGCAAAAAGCAATCAAAAGGGAGGGAGGCACGTGGGATTCGGAAGAGAAAGAGGTGGAGGAGGTCGAACTGGAAACCACCGAAAGAGGGGGAGGAAAGGGGACTGGGAAATAGACTCTGGGCGCCAGTCCGGTAAATTGGCTCCATTCATCAGAGGGCTTTCCTGTCGCGACGCGACTGCAGCTTTTGGCCTGTAAAGTCCTCGGCGCGTCAATGTGACAGAATAGAAGGAACGAGAGTTCAGGGGGACTGTGGTCGCTTTACTATCTATATACTGCACGTACACACCGGCCGCACGTAATTCCCATGGTTTTAAGTTCAATGCCTCTGTACTGCTGTAATAGCGTTATTTTTTTTTTTTTTTCACATAGTACCTCGTTGGTTTTGTATATTGTACAAGTCACGATCACTCTGCAATATATAATCGTTTAATCATTAAAAAAAAAAAAAAAAAAAAAAAAACGATAACTTTCAATAGCATCGAATAATACAGATGGTAAAATCTCTGATTTCAGTCTTAGTAATTGACCTGAAATTACAAATTATAAATTTTCCTCGTATACCATACTTGGTACTTATTTCCCAGTTGCAGAGTCAAAGCAAATTACAAATTTCGATTCTCTAATTTTGCACTCGTGGACTCGTCGTTTTTAGTGAGCACTTTGAAGAGATAGAGATGGATGTACCTGGTAAGCAGATGATCGAGATTCTGTGAAGCGTTTCCTGCGCCCAGAGGAAGAGGCGGCTATGGAGGAGCTGCCTGGAGAGAAAAACGGAGGAATTGAATTTCGACGCTTAACGAGCGATCCATGACTATGTGAGGCGTTCGCCACCACCTCCACCTCCTCCTTCGTGTATATAGTTTCGTGTGACATGAAAGGCTAAATGCCTCGCCGTTGCCGGTGCTACGAATCGACGAGCCCTTTTGACTGCTTACTGGCTGCAGTGTATATTGCACAACGTGAATGCCGGGTTAAATTTATTCGGTCGGATGCACAGGTATGCCATCGAGTAATTAAAAATGGGAACTGGAATATGATATATCACTGGAGCAGTGATTCGCTCCTCGATTTGTGTGAACTTGGGATGCATGAAGTGGTATGTTTATTGTATTATTCGGGTTATTTCTTTTGATAACAATATAACTGCTTCAAGGAAAGTGAGGATCGGATGTGAAATAATGCCTGGACGATAAAAAGCTCTATTTATTATCACCATATCTCAGGCATCTCATTAGCCAGAAAATTAGGATTACAGTAACTGGGGCATTATAAGAACGTTGTGAAAAAATAACTCGATGCTCGAATTAGATTAAAAGTCAACGCCATGTTCCACAGCCAAAGCGTAACAAATCACTCGTGGAAAAAAAAAAAAAAAAAAAAAAGGAATCACTCCTCGCACAAGCGATGGACTGAAATATCACGTAGGCATGAATAACAACCCCGTGTTTTAAAACTGCGTCCTCTCCCTAAAAATAAAACAGGAAAAAAATGAACAAAATCGTTCTCCAGTACGGAGGGCGATATCAGAGACGTAATGGATCCACCGACGGGTCTCAATTTTTCTGACAAAGCGGCTATTTTTTCAGTTCCCTCGATATTAGCGCTCCAGCGCGCGTTTTATATATGAAACGCCGGCAGATTTCCCGCGACGTTTGACCGATCGGGCTCAAGTTCGCACTATTGTTTCTCCCCTCCATCAGCGGCACCCGGAACGACCTTAAATCCCTCGACACGACTTTTCGCTCAAAAAGAAATGTACCTACCAACCCCCGATCGATATACACCATCCCTACAGCAGAAAGCTTGCGCACACGCATGCGATTAACCGGGATGGCTTTTTTTTTTAAGCCACCACGCGGTGAGGTTGAGCTTTGAATAAATTGGACTTGGCTAGGCCTATGCCGAGGAAGACCGAAACGCTGCGTTGAGAGAGTGTTTTATCGAGCTCTATTCTTCGACACGCATCTCAGTACTTTTGGCGCGGATTACGTTACATCATGTACCAAGGGGGGGAATAAAAGCTGCTTGCAATATTTCTCGAGTGCCCTACCAAGTGGTACGATGATTTATTTAAGAAAGTTTTTTCACTATACGTTTATACGCCGTGTGGGATGATCTTGGGATTTATGGCGCGCTCTGCTCGTAAACGCGAGTAAAAATTTATTCCCTTTCGAACTAACTAACGAAACATGGGTGTTTTTCATTCGTTCGAAACCGTCAAAAAAGAGTAAAAGAGTTGGAGATAAAAGCTCGACGCATGCATTTGCATGAATTTGCGTCTTTAGCGTGACGCGTGGCTCAAAGCTCCGTCGACCCTCCATTTAGCCGGGACTCGTCCTGCATCCGTCCGCAGTTGCGCCAACGACAAAAGCTACTACCCTTCCCGAAGCGAATTATATTATTTGTTTTCTCACCCTCGCGCGCAAAAGGTGGCCTGCTGCTTTGCATTTTATCCGGCATCACCTGCGAATTCCGGCGGGGAAAGTTTCGCGGCGCCCAAAGTTTGGTCGCGATGCCCAATTATGCAGCTCGACGTCAAAAGTCTCCCCTCGCTCGTTGGGGCGCGCGCACACGTGTGTGTTATACAGACTCGCCTCTTTTGCGCTCGCTTGTTTCCGTACTCTGTTTATTTTGCGAATTTATTATTGGCGTCTACTGCCAGTGTGCCCGGAATTCACCAAGTCTTGGGGTCGCGCAAATACATATACATACATTATGCTGTTGTTGGTATTTTCGGTGTGTTTGATGATGCAGTGCGAGCTTGACTTTGAGTTTGCTTGTTTTATTGTATATGTATAATTCATTAAATACATTTCAACACGTAATAATGACAACATGTACTTTTTTTAAATATTTTGTATATCTTTCTGACTGAAATGGTCCACCTTAACTTTTACAATTTGTCGTACCGTCATAAAGTACGAGAAGGTTACGTAAATCATCTGAAAATAGAAACACAAAAATTACTGGAGGAAACAAAATTGGTGCGATGAGAGGTAAAACTCACTTTTCCCAAATAGTTCCTGTTTAAAGCAGACATGAAACCATTAACGTAGATCCGGGGTATTTTTTGACATCTTTGCATGATAAAAACTTTTGAATTCGTGGTCTTTACACTTTGCTCAAACCATTTGGAAAAGTATACGGTGTACTCAACCTCGTCGCTCTACGGACGGATAAATGTGATAAAATAAATATTTTGCATCGTTGGCAGCGATTATTTTTTTACTTACGGCTGCCACCATGTATTCGGCAGTCTCTGCGCATAAGTGTATTCTTGAATAGCACATAAAGAAAATGGGACTCAACTGTAATATTTGTATTGTCGCCGAGTGGGTCTGTAACACGATTTTAGTAATCATTCATTTTCAATTCATAATATTTTTATACTTACATCGAATAGTAACACTGCCACACTAATGGTGTAAAGCATGTAAGCCAGAAGAGATTTAAGCACGAGAATGCCGCAAAATTTATTTACTTCCTCCATAAATCTAGAAATAGTAATGATAATATTAATACATTAATTATTGTAATTTTAGACGTGGAATCAAAAAGCATTGAGTATAACTAACCTTAAAACATTTTGATGTTCGACTACACAGCAAGCAAGTTGTTCATGATTCGTTACAGTATGGAATTTGTGTTTCAATTCTTGAAGACGCATTGTACCAACGTATATCAATAATACAATCAAACCATCGGTTATCACAGCTGATGACGAATGCCCGATTACAATAATTTGACTCAAATTAATTGCTACTTTAAGTGCCCTTGAATCAATTGTAAATGGATAATTGGCTGTCATAATAAAATTTTCATGCCCTTTTTCTGGATATGTTATATAAACACATACTTCTACGATGAAAATTAAACACTGAATTGCGAATATAATTTTATAAATAATGGTGTTTCCAACGGAAAGTTTGTCATGTCTTCTATTTATCAGCTTTACAGTTGTACAAAGTAAATCCTACATTTTTTAGAAAAAAAGAATGTGAATATTACGTGCAAAAATTGTATATGTATCAGTAATTGTATTTTATTCTGAATAGAATACCTTCAAACGAGATTCTTGACATTTAAAGTTGATTAAAATCATTATTGATTCAGCGATAAATAATAATTTCAGCCAAGCATAAAATGATGTGACTAAATTTTCTGTTAAAAGTAAAGTCTTAAATGTTGGAACTATGACACTTAAACAATTGACTAAATGGAAGCACCACATAAATCGATGCAAAAAATTCCAGTATTTATCTTTTTTGTCAAATAAGGGCCATATACCTAGAGCCTTACCAAAATTTTTTAATAAAAAAAAACTTATCTTCAATGACGCAAGAGTTTTAAACTTCTTTAATAACTTTAATAAGTTAATTAAAAAAATACAAAAAAAATTGTCAAGTCTTAAAAACATAATTAAAATTATGTACCCCTTGTATTTCTTGATGTCAATACAGCTGTAGTTAAACATTTACTGAGACAAAATTTTTGTTGAATACCTTAATTAGAGAGTGGATAATTTATGTGTTGTGACTGTATGATTAAATACAAAAAGGGGTAATATAAACTGATGATTAATGGCTAGTAAAATTGCTCAAAAATGTAGACAGTATTACGTTAATTCTCTTTCATTACTAAAAATAAAAAATATTAGGTTTGTTCATACGATACAAATGACGAATTGTTTTCTAGTTTAAACACATATAAATAAACTGATGTTTATTTGTCTAAAAACCATTTGTTAACATGATGCCTCAAAAAACTAAGATTAATATTAATCCATAACAACAATACTGCATAACAAAGTCACTTGTTAAAAATCATATTAAAAAATCTTCGTACATAAATATCATGACTACATCATTTATTTAAAATACAAATTTTCACAATATCTTGAGAACGTCACATATACACATTTACCAAACTATTATCGGATATTCTAGATACTATTAAGATAAAATACCCTTCATAATATTGACAGCAACAATTTTACATTATTTTCAAATCACTTTCGCATGATAACGACTGACAGGAGCTCCCATGTTTTCAGAATTTAAGTGGATAGAACTATCTTGATGTAATGTTATGCAAGCTCGTGAATTGTAGCATTTTTTTCAGTCTACGAGTTTCGGCAAAAAAAGGGAGTGATTTTTAATTCTAGTGTGTACAATTAATAATCAATGAACTTGTGTTAAGAATTGTAATCTAGCGCTAAAACTATAGCTATAGGTATTTACTTAAACTTATTAACTTGAATGGATTTTTTTTTTGTAAAAAATTTTGCATGGCTCTGGATTTTCTTGTCAAGTACTTAAAATAATTTGTACATGTAAACATTGGGAAAACAATTATTCTACAGATATATAGGTATTTTAAGGATACTCCATAGCTGATGAAGCAAAAGTGGTTGTTACAGTCATAGATTAATTTGAAAAATGATACATTGCCATTATTAATAATTGATGGTTAAGATTTATTAACATACATTACAAATACTTGGAGGAAGACAATGAAAAAGTTCGATCATTTTTTAGACTTTGAAATCATTTCATATCTATTTTTTAAACAAATTTTTTGTGAAATCTATAACTTCCTCTAAGAAATGTTCATAATTAACTTGTGTATATGCATTATAAATTAGAAAACAATATAATTATTCTCTTAAAGAAGATGGTTAAAATTTAAAGTCAATAAAGGTTATCACAGTTTCTGCTCTTATCAACCATTGATAAGTATTACTAAAAATTATTTCTGCTATGAAAATACTACGATGACAATTCCAAAAATTTTTTGAAAGATTTTTGAGTTTTACTTTTGTATTTTTCTTGACTGTTAACACTGATATTAATGGTACACACGTGCCGGAAGGACAGCATTGAAAAATGCCAACTCCTTTGATTAGGACATTGCAATGATCCCGCCCATATACATTACACAACTCAATTCGTAATACTTGATATCGAATCGTGATTTGTAATAAAATTTGTAATACATAATTGTCTACGTAATACATATATTTTTGTAACAGTGCCAATAGTTATAGATTGCTTCAGAAATTATTTTGTTTTCTTTAATTACCTTGGATTTTCTATAACTTGTTAATACTTAGGTATATTATAAATTCGGTTATGAGTTTTTAATGCAGAGTATAATAATTTATTTCTTTTAACTATTTCTAAAAAATTTAGAAGTTATTGTCTGTAAGTATCTCTTAGCAATATAAAAGTTTGTGGACTTCAGATGGTTCAGAAGATCTGATCTATTGATTCAACCTTGAACTTACAAGCATATTCTTTAGTAAATTTTTCTGTTCGGCAGCATAGTATTTACGTTAGGTGTAACTGCAAAAATGGTCAATAAACTGCCTAGAGACTGAATCTAACGTTGTTTATTATATAAAACATTTTTAATATTCTATCAATAAGTCTAATCAAGTTATTAAGATTAATCCTTGAATGCTGCACGAAGTGCCATGAAATATGAAAAAGTTGCATATAATATCTGTAAAAGATACACTATGAAATGTTAATTAACATTAAAAAATATATTTAAAAAACTTACTTTTCCTAGGTAATTTCTATTATATGCTGACATGAAACCACTTATTTGAATTTTTGGTGCATGTTGACAACGGTGAATGATCATCATTTTTATTTGTACAATTTTTGGAGATTCATGATACCATTTTGTTGAATATACTGCCATTTGTACGTTAGTACTCTTAAAAAGTTTACAAGCAGTTTAAAAAATCGAACTGGTTTAAAATTACATAACATGATGACTTACAGTAGATTCTAGGTTTTCAGCACTTTCAGCAAATAAAAATAATCTCAAGTAGTTTACTATAAGTATCAAAAATTGATTCATCACTTGCAGTGTCATTGCACCCTGCTACAAAAAATGCATTAAGTGCTTTCATTTTGATTCAAATAAAAAATTATTGCTCATCGAATTTACGTTATGTAGTTGTAAACCTGCACAAATACAGTATATTACAAAACCAATGACAGTTTTAAAGACCAAGATTCGCAATATTTTGTTTGTTTCTTTTATTAACCTACAAGAACAATATCAATGTGTTAAAACAATTATCCAGTATCGAGTTTTAATTATTTTAAATAAACCTTAAAATATATCCGTGATCACGAATACAATTTTCCAGTTCTAGATAACTTTGGACGTCAACGAATTTTTTTTCAACAATTTTCAAATATTTTATACAAGTATGAATGATCAAAACAACCATTCCATCAGACGCTGTAATTGCATTCATGTTAAAAAAACAAAGAACTTGGTGACTTAACACTACAATTTTGATAGTTTTAGATTTAATTTGAAAAGGGTATTTCGTCGTTGCTATCAATTCTTCATACATTAATGAGCGAGGTCTGTTAATATATACGTAAAGTCCTGCATTGTAAAGAACTACAGTGGCCGTGAACAATATTCTAAATATTTTTCCGTCATTTGAAATTACTTCATGGCTTTTTTTTTTGTCAAGCTCGTTTTTTATGTGAAGTAACATTACCTTTCAAGCAAAAAAAATTAATTTGTATTGAACATAGTAAATTGTTATTTGTGTTGAGAACAAACGTACCTTCAAATCCATTCGTTTAAATTTTAAATAAATTAAAATAAACACAGTTTCTGCACTCATTGTTATTTCTATCCAAGTATTAAACACTGCAATCAAGTTGTCAGCTTTCGAACAGAGGGTATACCCATTGCCCGCAATAAATAACAGCTGATTTACCAAATAAAACCACCATAAAAAACATATTTCAAATTTTGCATTGCTTTTACAACTTTTAGGTGTTAGACTTATACCCAAACATTTCATAAAAAATATTAAACCAAGAAAAACTTTTTTATCAGAAAAAAATCTTCTCATTTTTTTTTTGTTTCCAGGTATTTATATTTCTAACGTATTGCAAAAAACGTATAAGGTTCTTATGAAAATTTATCTTTACAACTTTAACAAAACATCGTACGATGAAGGCACCTAACCATCAACTGGTGTACCCTGATGACACAATTCTTGGTCTTACCCTACGTTTCCACGTAATGATGATTACAAGTGACATTACAACTATACGGGCAGTAAAATGAGGGCTAGTCAACTTGTACTATTATTACGTGAATTATCTTTGGTATTATGTGTACTTTACTTAAGAAAAGCTAATTATGAAACAAAGATAAACATCAATCAGCTTTTGTGAGTAAAAATTGAATTAAATAAACAACCGAGCAAACACTCACGAATTTCCATAAAACCATTGAAATGTCACAAACATCGCCCAGCTCTTAGATCAAAAGGTTAGCTGTAAAACGGTAAGTCAACATTCGTTGCTTTTGTCAGTTTGTAGGTGGACAGTCGATGAATATTTAAAGGAGAGGATCAGTTGCTGCTACTGTCGCTTCCAATGCAATGGCAACTCGGTCAACAGCAGCGTGAGTGGGCCAATAAGAATTAAGCTCTGCTCTAACGCTATGCTGACTGGCACAGAGGTATCAACCTGTCGGCTCGATAAAATCTTTTGCCTCTTTCTTCTTCATCGTGATGTCATTTTTTTCCAGCTTTAATTCTCCCACCCAAACTCAAGAATTTGAGAATATCCTTTTTTACGACCACGACGACGTAATAACTTCAGCACTCTTTCTCCCGATTTTTTTTTTTTTTTTTTTTTGTAATTTACTTTTGTTGAGAATGTATTACGTATTACGTATAAAAGTAGAGGTAACACTTGCGGACATTCTGTAGCAGTTCTCGAGAACAAAGTCATTAACTTGACTAAGTGTAAGGAAGAAGGAGAAAAAGAGGGAGGAATGTTATTTCACGTATTTTTTTTTTTTTTCTTTTTAAGTTAGCACGCTCCTGTGAATTGAGTTATTTTTTCGCGGAAATTGAAATTTACCGAGGGTACATACTAATTTCAGCTATTTCTCGATGATACATGACCCTTTCTCCTTTTCCACCTCCGTATTTACGAAATTCTTAATTTTTTATCACCTGTATTCAAGTGTGTAGATAATTAAACTTGATCTTAAAAAACGAGGTATAGATATGAGCCCTTATGGTCCTTAATATGAGTTTTACTAAGTTATCGACGTTATGGAAATAGTAAAGAAGATCGAACATTGTGATGGGCCATCTAAGGTACATTATAAATCTGTAGTGGTATTGTATTGATGTGCAAACACGTGCACGAGTCCATGCAAATACTTGAGCACATACGCAGTTAGGCTAATGTACCCACCGTAACTGCATACATCGTACGTTCACGTGCAAACATGTTCGCATAATAGAACGTATATATTCTGTGATGTACGTGTATACATGTAAATGCAATGCCTTACACGTGGCAATTAATCAATAGCCACAAGGAGATGCATTATCCCAATGTTTCGCGATGAAAATTTTATTAAAAAGTCACGCATTAAGTATCATTCGGAAGAGTCAATTTGGCAGATTAAAGTTCTTGAACGGATGGTATATACGAGCAACCATTATAAAGGATACGAAAAAAGACGTATACAATCCCATGTCCGACAGCGTTAACCAGACAGTAGTGGTGGCGCATGGCATCGTATAACAAACCCCATACAAAAGCAAGTACAGCAGTAATAGTTATTCCGGGGAGGCGTCCACTCGTCGTCAGCCCCGGCGAATAATTTAAGCGAGTGATTTGGCTTCCTACGAGCCAACGAGCGAGCGAGCGGGTAAATAACGCTGGTACAGCTCTCGGCGTACGACCGGGCATGCCTACGCAAGTTAATCGCTCCATTGTGCCCGTCGTATGGGAGCGAATCCCAGCGCGCGAGGGACAAAATACTCGCAGGGCTTCCATTACGGGGCTCCCGTCTCTCGCTCTTTTTTCCCCCATCCTCGCGTTTTGCTGTCGAATCAATCGAAAGGTATATTTATAATGTACTGCGCCGGGATGCTGCTTCACACGATTCGTCATGTACGAACAAAGTACTTGCCACAGGAATGAAAATAATTTCACGATAAGATGTTTGAATCCACCGAGCAGCTTCAAGCGATACTGTGTAACAACGGTGGCAGCAGCCAGTAAAATATATATATATAGCCCCGTAAATACGATTAAAGAGCTGCGCGTGCACTTACAAATAAAGCCTCGATTTCGAAAGGATACACGCATAGGGCCCAGCTGGTGAACTGCTGACGTCTGCGTAAACAACGACCGGGTCGGGGACGATACGATGACAAAAAAGCGCCAATTACAAAGCTCCATCCTTGTGTTGCTCGGCGCGTGTATATATACGTGGTGCCGAATTTGTGAATTTTCGGAATTACTCCTGGATGGTGAAGGGTCGCAGTGAATTAGTTGAATGGACAAATTGAGCGGAAAGGGGCGAAGCGGCAGGGGGGGAGGGGAACAGAAGCCATGACTCGACAGCGCGAATTATTGAGATTCCGCTGTTTGTGCTGCTTCGCTTAAATTGCAGTTTGATAATGAAATACTGATTGGTTGGTCGGGGGTGGTAGGGCGAAATTATGATATGAATTTAATAATGCGAGCGAGGGCCGTGATTACAAATTATCTGAGTAAAAGGCACAAGCGCTGTGCACTCATCGTTTGCAATAGTCAATCGAGGAGAGTTTTAAAACAAAGGACGCGTATTTGTACGTTTTAATTGTCAAGCGACAATACGCACATTGGAAATGTTTTCCCAAATATTTCGTTGCAGCTGATTTGAAATTATTGGCAGTATCCAGTTGTTCTGGAAATCTTCAATTTAGTACCAAACTTTTCGATCGGGCACGCAACGCACGAAGATAATCCTTACGTACCATTAGGTCCCCCTCCGAGAAGTTTTGAAACCCTTGGTTTATCATGAAAATCAAAGCAAACCCTCGTCCATCTGTGCAAAACTCGGAGACCTGCACTCTCGTGCCGAGCCCATACCGGCAACACAAGGTCCGCTCCGATCATTATCATAATCGGCGTATGTCGACATACATCACGTGGCATGGGGTTTGGTAGCCAGTGGTCAGTGGCCGGTTTCCCCAAATGTTCGCGTCGCTGAAACCCATCGCACGAAATAATTAATGCACGGTGTTTGTACGCGTGGACAAGAGAAAGGGGGGGGAGGTAAAGGAGGAGAAGGAATCAATTGAAAGGATCAAAAGACTTCTGTCCGTGGCTTCGAGGATTCCGTGGATTCAGCGTGCCGTGAACTAATACATCTCGTTGCCGCGTTATCACACAGACGTTGCGCAGATATATGGATCTTTGGATGCCGATGTGTGCGTTGTATGGGGGCTGGGCGCAACGGAGCGGGAGGGAGCCCGTACGCCGCCGGTATTATGGAATTATGAAAAGGAAAATCCATCCGTTCGCGGTGGTAATCGAGTCGGCAAATAGGGATTAGCACTGAGCCACGAGCAAACAATGCCTTGCCCTCTGATTCCGTGCTCCCATCGCAGAAACGTTCGTACGACAATTGATTGACTTTTCGCTGTTATACGCGTATATGGGTGCACGCGTATCATCCCTCCTCGAATTTTCCGAATCTCTTATTTCTTTGTTGACTCGTACGGTGCATGTGGGTGGGGATGTGTTCGTACACGTGGTACCTACATCTGTCTTTCTCTTTGTTTCCTCCAGACGATGATACATTTTTGTTATTATCCTTATTCCTTCTCCCTCGTTTTATCTTTACCGAGTATTCGTGGAAATTCCCGAGAACGTGGTTGAGTTGGCATTTCCACAGACACGTAATCTCCCTGACAATCAGAAAATTCGAGTGCACTCTAATGACAATGTTTTGAGATCGAGGTACTTGTCGGACCATCCTGACGTTGTGGCCATCCAGTCCTCGCCTGTCGGATAACCCGCAAGAGGGAAATAGTATTGATAGCCTCGCGATCCCATCAACGCTGCGTCTCTTTTCCGTGTATACGCATGGATGCGTAATCGATACGTCGACTGGAGGGAAAGAATCAGAAAAATAAGTCTTTGCGTGTGTATGGAGGGAAAAAAGAGAGATGACTCGCAGGAGTTTTTTTTTTTTTTTCTACGCTACGGGCCT